CCTAATGTGGGACACTTTGGCTCTAAGCCTAATGTGGGACACTTTAGCTCTAAGCCTAATGTAGGACACTTTGGCTCTAAGCCTAATGTGGGACACTTTGGCTCTAAGCCTAATGTGGGACACTTCTGCTCTAAGCCTAATGTAGGACACTTTGGCTCTAAGCCTAATGTGGGACACTTTGGCTCTAAGCCTAATGTGGGACACTTTGGCTCTAAGCCTAATGTGGGACACTTCTGCTCTAAGCCTAATGTAGGACACTTTGGCTCTAAGCCTGATGTGAGACACTTTAGCTCTAAGCCTGATGTGGGACACTTTAGCTCTAAGCCTAATGTGGGACACTTTGGCTCTAAGCCTAATGTGGGACACTTTGGCTCTAAGCCTAATGTGGGACACTTCTTCTCTAAGCCTAATGTGGGACACTTCTGCTCTAAGCCTAATGTGGGACACTTCTGCTCTAAGCCTAATGTGGGACACTTCTGCTCTAAGCCTAATGTGGGACACTTTGGCTCTAAGCCTGATGTGGGACACTTTAGCTCTAAGCCTGATGTGGGACACTTCTGCTCTAAGCCTAATGTGGGACACTTCTGCTCTAAGCCTAATGTGGGACACTTTGGCTCTAAGCCTGATGTGGGACACTTTAGCTCTAAGCCTAATGTGGGACACTTCTGCTCTAAGCCTAATGTGGGACACTTTGGCTCTAAGCCTGATGTGGGACACTTTAGCTCTAAGCCTGATGTGGGACACTTCGGCTCTAAGCCTAATGTGGGACACTTTGGCTCTAAGCCTAATGTGGGACACTTTGGCTCTAAGCCTAATGTGGGACACTTTAGCTCTAACCCTAATGTGGGACACTTTAGCTCTAAGCCTAATGTGGGACACTTTGGCTCTAAGCCTAATGTGGGACACTTTAGCTCTAAGCCTGATGTGGGACACTTCTGCTCTAAGCCTAATGTGGGACACTTTGGCTCTAAGCCTAATGTGGGACACTTTAGCTCTAACCCTAATGTGGGACACTTTAGCTCTAAGCCTAATGTGGGACACTTTGGCTCTAAGCCTGATGTGGGACACTTCTGCTCTAACCCTAATGTGGGACACTTTAGATCTAAGCCTGATGTGGGACACTTCTGCTCTAAGCCTAATGTGGGACACTTTAGCTCTAAGCCTAATGTAGGACACTTTGGCTCTAAGCCTAATGTGGGGCACTTTGGCTCTAAGCCTAATGTGGGACACTTTGGCTCTAAGCCTAATGTGGGACACTTTAGCTCTAACCCTAATGTTGGACACTTTAGCTCTAAGCCTAATGTGGGACACTTTGGCTCTAAGCCTAATGTGGGACACTTTAGCTCTAAGCCTGATGTGGGAGACTTCTGCTCTAAGCCTAATGTAGGACACTTTGGCTCTAAGCCTAATGTGGGACAATTTGGCTCTAACCCTAATGTGGGACACTTCTGCTCTAACCCTAATGTGGGACACTTCTGCTCTAAGCCTAATGTAGGACACTTTGGCTCTAAGCCTAATGTGGGACACTTTAGCTCTAAGCCTAATGTGGGACATTTCTGCTCAAAGCCTAATGTGGGACATTTCTGCTCTAAGCCTAATGTGGGACATTTCTGCTCTAAGACTAATGTAGGACACTTTGGCTCTAAGTCTAATGTGGGACACTTTAGCTCTAAGCCTAATGTGGGACACTTTAGCTCTAAGCCTAATGTGGGACACTTTAGCTCTAAGCCTAATGTGGGACACTTTAGCTCTAAGCCTAATGTAGGACACTTTGGCTCTAAGCCTAATGTGGGACACTTCTGCTCTAAGCCTAATGTGGGACACTTCTGCTCTAAGCCTAATGTAGGACACTTTGGCTCCAAGTCTAATGTGGGACACTTTAGCTCTAAGCCTAATGTGGGACACTTTAGCTCTAAACCTAATGTGGGACACTTTGGCTCTAAGCCTAATGTGGGACACTTTAGCTCTAAGCATGATGTGGGACACTTCTGCTCTAAGCCTAATGTAGGACACTTTGGCTCTAAGCCTAATGTGGGACACTTTGGCTCTAAGCCTAATGTGGGACACTTCTGCTCTAAGCCTAATGTAGGACACTTTGGCTCTAAGCCTAATGTGGGACACTTTGGCTCTAAGCCTAATGTGGGACACTTTAGCTCTAAGCCTAATGTGGGACACTTCTGCTCTAACCCTAATGTGGGACACTTCTGCTCTAAGCCTAATGTGGGACACTTCTGCTCTAAGCCTAATGTGGGACACTTCTGCTCTAACCCTAATGTGGGACACTTCTGCTCTAACCCTAATGTGGGACACTTTAGCTCTAAGCCTAATGTGGGACACTTCTGCTCTAAGCCTAATGTGGGACACTTCTGCTCTAACCCTAATGTGGGACACTTCTGCTCTAACCCTAATGTGGGACACTTCTGCTCTAAGCCTAATGTGGGACACTTCTGCTCTAACCCTAATGTGGGACACTTCTGCTCTAAGCCTAATGTGGGACACTTTAGCTCTAAGCCTGATGTGGGACACTTTAGCTCTAAGACTAATGTAGGACACTTCTGCTCTAACCCTAATGTGGGACACTTCTGCTCTAAGCCTAATGTGGGACACTTCTGCTCTAACCCTAATGTGGGACACTTCTGCTCTAACCCTAATGTGGGACACTTCTGCTCTAAGCCTAATGTGGGACACTTCTGCTCTAACCCTAATGTGGGACACTTCTGCTCTAAGCCTAATGTGGGACACTTCTGCTCTAAGCCTAATGTGGGACACTTCTGCTCTAACCCTAATGTGGGACACTTCTGCTCTAACCCTAATTTGGGACACTTCTGCTCTAAGCCTAATGTGGGACACTTCTGCTCTAACCCTAATGTGGGACACTTCTGCTCTAAGCCTAATGTGGGACACTTCTGCTCTAACCCTAATGTGGGACACTTCTGCTCTAACCCTAATGTGGGACACTTCTGCTCTAACCCCTAATGTGGGACACTTCTGCTCTAAGCCTAATGTGGGACACTTCTGCTCTAACCCTAATGTGGGACACTTCTGCTCTAACCCTATGTGGGGACACTTCTGCTCTAAGCCTAATGTGGGACACTTCTGCTCTAACCCTAATGTGGGACACTTCTGCTCTAACCCTAATGTGGGACACTTCTGCTCTAACCCTAATGTGGGACACTTCTGCTCTAACCCTAATGTGGGACACTTCTGCTCTAAGCCTAATGTGGGACACTTCTGCTCTAACCCTAATGTGGGACACTTCTGCTCTAACCCTAATGTGGGACACTTCTGCTCTAACCCTAATGTGGGACACTTCTGCTCTAACCCTAATGTGGGACACTTCTGCTCTAAGCCTAATGTGGGACACTTCTGCTCTAACCCTAATGTGGGACACTTCTGCTCTAACCCTAATGTGGGACACTTCTGCTCTAACCCTAATGTGGGACACTTCTGCTCTGGTGAATACAGCTGGGAACAGAACAAGTGTTTGAATGCGTACATTAACAGGTTTATGATATCACTGCCCGTCTACGACACGATCTGACTTTAATTCTATAAAGGAGGGGGAGGTGTCGTGGCCCATTTTTGTGGGATATCTAAAACTGTGCCACGTCAACAGGGATCCGCTTCTTGACTCACACGTTACAAACCATCCAAATAAAGCTCTGTAGGCGCTGATTTCTGTGCTTTCCTCGGCCGATTTATTTACTTCCATATATTTAAACAAACAAAATAAACAAAACGATCAGTGTAACGTGAGTTCAAAGACTGTTCCGATTCCCCGTTCATTGCTGGAGACAATTTCCTTCCTCACGCTCAGTCCCACCCCTTCCTTATATCACAGGTGTGGCTCGCAGTAAATCAAGGTTTCTCTCCGAATATTTAATTCGGTACTAGTACATAAATGGAAAGAATATATTAAGATCTAAATTAATAAGAAAATAATACACTCATTGTCAACAAAGAAAATGGCTCTAACATTCCAGCCCCTAATTGCATAGAATATAGCAATTACAACAATAAATACATTCAATATTCAAAACAAGGAGTTTCTGGGAGCCGAATCGTCCACAATAACAACGAGATCTCCAGGAAGAAAGTTCCTTCTGATCTTATTCCATTTATTTCGCTGTTGCATTGTTGGAAGATATTCTCTGACCCATCTCTTCCAGAAAGGATCAGCCAGATATTGTACCTGTCTCCATCTTCTTCTTGAGTACAGGTCCTCCTTCACGAAGAGTCCAGGTGGCATAACAGGATGAGTTTTGAGCAGAAGCAGATGATTAGGTGTTAAAGGCTCCACATCATTCAAGTCATTGGTTATGGTTGTGATGAGTCTATCATTCATTATAGCTTCCACTTCACATAAGGCTGTTTGCAATGCCTCATCATCCATGACTTGTTCCCTTACCACAGTGACTTGCTGAGTCGCTCCCATACGCCTCCGTGGTGAGGGCCTGCTGCTGGGTTGAATATCCACTCGATCCCTTCTTGGAGAAGGTTGCTTTGGATTTTATCGTGGTTTAGTTATTTTAATGATTGTTCAAGCTCCTTTTGTGCACCAATGAAATGTGTACCTTGATCAGATCTGATGATTTTCACAGTACCTCTACGACATAAGAATCTCCGTATTGCATTGATGCAGGAGTTTGTGTCCAAACTACTAGCCACTTCAAGGTGGATTGCACGGCTAGTAAGGCATGTGAAGATTACACCCCATCGTTTCACATTAGTCCGACCTCGCTTTATCTCAAACGGTCCAAAATAGTCCATGCCAACTGCAGTGAAAGGTGGCAAATCTGGCATCACGCGGTCCTGAGGAAGATCTGCCATCTTTTGCTCTCCTACTTTAGACTGCATACGTCTGCAGAAAACACACTTTCTGATGATCTTTCGTGCTGAGGAGTTTGCAGAGGACATCCAATATTTTTGTCCTAGTTTAGACAGCATGTGATTTCTTCCAGAGTGACCAACTCTGCAATTGGAGCAGTCATCTTTATGGTTCACCGATCCACATTATTTCTCCTGAAGGCTTCAGACATTGTGCGAACATGTCCGAAGGTTTTCAGGACCTTTTTATACCTATGGACAACCTCCGCTGGCCCTTTGACTGGAAAAAAACAAACAAACAAATACACAAGGGACGAGTACACAGACTAATAATTCTGCCAGCAGATGGCGCTAATAATGGCCTAAACAACTGACATTTCTCTTTAAAAATAACTATAAAGCATACTCTAGGGATGGCAACATCTGCTTATCTGATCTTTATCATTATTACTTTTCATGATATTTAGTTGTTCACCTCTCATATGAGCTCGCACAGCCACATCTGGAGATGCAGGATTCCGTGTGTTACGTTGCTTCTTTTTTGGGATGACAACATCACTGTCTGAGGAATCACTGAGGTCTGCAGGACTTTGGGAAGTGTCATCTTCGGACATGCTGACATCCTCTTCCAAAGTAGGGACTTTTGATTGAGCTTAAATTCAACGGATGACAGATGACACACTGATCAGCTTGTTATGAGGAGATACATAACATCACACCTTCTATAACAATTGAATACAAATGTTCAGTTTCTTCTCGAATCACTCACTTGATTTCTTCTTCAACCCCAAGACTTGCTCGCGTAAGAAATTGCGCTCTCCTTCAAGATCTTTTATCATTTTATCTTGCCATTCGATCTTGGCCTCTAGGAATTCCAATCTTGAGATTGATCCTTAAAAAACAAAAGGACAGTTTGAGAGAAGATTACAATAAAGATTATGATACAGTATTGAGTAACAGGAAACGTATTGGAGAGACAGAGAGAGGGATGGCGAGCAACAAAGGTCATGGGCCAGATCGAACACAGATGATTGCGATTATGGTTTGTGCCTTAACTTGATGAACCTCAAGGATTTTAAAACCATAAAGTAGCAGCCGATAAAGTAAAAAATGTATACAATTATCCACTTCCCCTCTCCCACAAGAGACAACAGATAATATGTGGTTTCCCTAGTCAACATCGGCCATGTCAGTTACAGTGTACTGCTTATCATCACCACTGTGCGTCATATTAATGATCAGATATTAATTAAATTACAAGTATTTCTTTGCAGCTCCAAATCGCAACTTTTCCTATAGAGCAGGTCAAGACTGTACTCTTACAGTTTACAGAGACCCAACTTTTACCCACATGAGCATGCACAGTGGTAAGGAAAAACTACACTTTTTATGTATTAGAGATCACTATGTTGTGAATATGTAAATGTATCATTGAGTGGCCAAACATGATCATGGAGGCGATGTGTGCTTTTATTCTATAAAGCACAATATAACAGCAACATTTATTTTCATGTTGGGTTCTCTTTTAAGCTTACATTTGTCCTTGGAAGGCTACTGAAGTGAATTGTCTCTAACCTATACAGTCTCAGAATTTTGACGAGCTGTTTATTTTTTACCATAACTTAAGGAGGTGCATGGGCTAAATCTGGCAACAATTTCCATCTCAGGATGAACGAGCCATATAGTTTAATGTTTATAAACTACCAACACAAAGAATCAATGCAAGAAAAAAAACCCACCTGATCCAAGGCTGGTACTGCAACTTGGGGCCAAGCTTTCTGTATCTTCAGGACCTATGGCATAAGAACAATAAACTCACAAAATTAATAGGGGACATGAATGTTAAAATCAAGTTTGACAAGGAAATCATTTAAGTTGTACTTCTTAGCTAAGGGATATACAATTTACCATCTAGATCCTCTTTGATCAACTCCATCCTTGACTCCTCTTTTGGGACCTGATTCTTCTTCTTTGCCTTAGGCTGTAAAAAAAAATAAGAATAAAGCTATTACATATTGTGTAAAAGGCTGAATATGTACATTGGATAACAGTTACAGTGCACAAACATGAGTCTAAAAGGCAGCGAGCTGGCCAAATGAAAGCGACTGACCCGGGGGTTAAACCAAGTAAAAGATAACCACGAGCCTTCGCGCCAGTTGTTGGCTAGCTAGCAAGCGGGGCTAATGTTGGCTGTGGTGATTAACTACAATGTTTAATCGGCTTGCAAGATAGCTATAATTTACTTTTGAAAAGCAATGGGTCCCTATTAATTTATGGACTAACAATAATGAACATTATACGAATTATACAGCCAAGTAGTGGGTAGGTTACATGACGATATTGAGCTAACGCGGCCAACAACGTGAGTTGGTAATAATGACTTTATTAAGCACACAATTCAAAGAGGTCCAGAGTGCACATGAAAGAGAGCATTTTCAACAGATACAACAATGAATACAAAAATAAGAAAGCAAGCACGTAACTTACCATTGTCGATGCACAACATTTCCAATGTCGCTCTTCAAGCTCCAAGGCAAGTGGAAAAGGCCAAAAGCTAGCAGGCAGTTTCTTTTTGCTGATTGGACGGGGATTTAATATGATAGTGAATGATTGGATGAATTTGCCGTTTGCAACCTGTCAGGTGACTCCCGTTCCCCTCTACGTTACTGCACTGTCAAACTTAAACTACGCCACAACTTATCCTAAAACACATGTTTACACAATATCAGAGTCAAACCGCTGCAACAAAATCCATACATTTAAACGTCTTGGCCAAACGAATGAATGTAGTTGAAAAACCAGGGGTGGGGGGGAGCGGGGACAGAGAGCACCCTCATGCACTGTCAACGGGTGGGGGAGGGGGGGGACATGCTCGTGAACTGTTAATAAGGTCCCATAGGTCCGAAGTAAATGGGCGGGACTTCGCCTCCGGAGCTTCGCTGTTAGCGGAAGTAACCGGCGGATAGACACATGAGAACATGGATTGGTGGATCACTTTGTCAATCATTATTCTCCCAAAGGGTAAGTCCCGCCTATTTCATTTATTCTCCCTCGCTGTGGATTGTGGAGGTATGGCCACTGGCGGCACATATCAGACCCGGGCCGGGGGGCGGGGCCACATGACCGGGCCCTTTCAACCCAATAAAGCTTGACAAAAATATCGGGAGTCCGGGGTGGTAATCTGACGCTCGTGCGTAAAAAGTCGCTCAGTCAGTAAGATTACAATTTAAAACAATGTTTGAAAGAAAAGTAACTAAAGAAAAGGTGTAATATTTAAGATTTCGTTTCTACAAAGGGTATAGAAACGAAATATAAATATATATCAGAGATAATAATGATATAACATGACATAAAGTCCAACAAACCACAAGGACAACGAAAACATAGCCTAATAAAATGATTTTCTGACACACCATTCACCATGGACAGCCAGCAGCCACCATGAGAGCAGAGCAGTGTAAAATTGGCACGGCGGCCCATACGTTCACGTACAAGTAGGCTACTGTACAAATTAAATGTGAAGTGTACTCACCACTACTTGAAGGGTACTCGGCGAGCCTTGCGCTCCGCGAACTCGTCCACAATCCGCTGTATGTCCAATTTCTTGGCTCGGTCACTTTCGATGGACAGCAAGGCCAGTCCACTCAGTCTCTCCTGTCCCATCGTGCTCCTCAAATAGTTTTTGATGAGTTTTAATTTGGAGAAAGAGCGCTCGGCGGTTGCCACGGTGACAGGAAGAGTCAGAAATAAGATGAAGGCTGTGCAAACCTCACTGAATGTAGATGTTATTGCTGGGTTGTAAACAATGAGCATTTTTACCAGATCCGCGACAGATTTTAGTTTTTGTATTTTGTCCCTGAAACAGGTTCTGAAAGAAAGCAGCTGGCCAGGGAAGCTGGCGGCGATGTCCCGACTGTAGTGCTCTCTAAGCCGCTGGGCAGCTTGGTGTAAATCCTCATCCTTTGCTTGCAGTAGTGTGTTGGGGTGAATTGCCTCAAACATGTTCACAGTTGCATTTAAGCTGGTGAATCTTTGGGACATGGCTGGATGATTATATCGAGACATGCATTGAAAACGGTCACCCGAAAGTTGCTCTCTGCGTCAGTGAGGCGGCTGTCTTCAGAAAGTTCATCAAAGTGTCTCTTAACTTTCCTGGCCCTGGTTGTTTCAAACTGTGTTTGACTTCCCCATTTAGTAGCCAGGGCAAGAGTGGCGGACTTCGCCTCATCAAAGTGTCCCCGATACTCCACCAAAACACTGATGGCATTTTGCAGTAGAGTAGATGCTTTGAGAATATCCGCGTCTTTTGCTTGCAGTAACTGTGAAGCACAATATGCTTTCCAAAATCTTGGTCTGCATGTTGACCAAAAATAGAAAGCGAAATTTGCTTATGGCATTCTTGAGTGCACTTGCTTCATTGCGCTCATCCTTTTTGTCACTGGTAAGGGATATTTTGACGAGGGCTTTTATAATGTCTCCATATCTGTGCCTTAACGCAACAAGCGCATCATGGCGAGATGACCAGCGAGTGGGACATAAGCGTTTTAATGTGATCTGCTCTCTGGCGTCATTAACTCACTGAGCAATGCCCATCGTTTGATACTGTGACCAAATAAGTTGTAGAGCGTCTCTACAGTGTCATAGAACTGCTTCACTCCAGGGACATTTTTAACAGAGTCGTTGAGTGCTATGTTGAGATTATGAGCAGCGCAATGAACATAGTGAGCAAGGGGCTCCTTCTCGGCTATTCTTGCTTGCACGCCTGAATACACACCACTCATATTAGCCGCCCCATCATAGCCCTGTCCGCGACATTTAGACAGATCTAATCCGTTTTTCTCTATAGAACCAAGGATTTTGTTTTCAAGCTCTGAAGCTGATGAACCTTCAGTCACTTCAAAACCCCAAAAGACTTCATTGATCTGTATATCTGTTGCAATATCCATGTCGTTCTTAACAACAGTGATGTAACGGTAAACCTGACTCAACTGGTCTATCTTTGACACATCTTGCGTTGTGTCCATGATGACGGAATAAAATGGGGCTTCGTTTATTTCATCAATGATGTCAGCTTTCACATGTTGAGATAATATGTAAATAATCTCATCTTGAATCTGGTGACTGAGGTATTTCACTGACCCTTCTGGTCGGTTGATTAGCTCTTTCAAAACAGGGTCGTAGCGAGCCAATAATTCTATTATTGACAAAAAGTTGCCAGCTTTTTCCTGACCTAGAACCTCTCGATTGGCCCCTGAATGCCAAGTTGCTTGAAGCTAGAGTGAGAGTTACATTAACAATGCGCTCCACGACCTGTCTCCAAAATTGGGCGGCATTACGCACATTCCTCTCCATGTCAGCGTCTATTGTGCCGTTGGTTTTCCACTGCTCATATACTACGCATGCACCAAGGTGTATTTGAGTGGATTCATGCCTCTCAATTTGAGTAGAAAGATGTTTCCAGTCTTTTATTCCGTTTACCCATGCATTGTTGTAGAACAGTGCCTTTCGGTTGGCAAAAAGCCAGCAAGGCTCACAGTAGCAGCAGTCACATTTTGGGGAATAGCACATACAGCTGCGTGGAGATGTCATCCCAACTTTAGTGGTGGAGGTGTAATAGCTTTCTGAAAAGCAACGGTTATCCTTGTCTTTGGGAAATGGACCTTTGGGTTTGCATGGGCCCATTTTAAGGATATATCTTTTGATATTGGCGTCCTCAATGTTTTCAAAATAGTTTGCCCGATCAGTCGGAAAACGCTCCAGAGGATAATTGCAGGACACATCATGATCCGTGGTCTGAGTTTCACCCGTAGGCGTAGCGTGAGGAGGAGACCTGTTGCTGCTTTCATTCCCAGTGTCCGGTACTTCTTCACCTTGCGGCGCAGCAGGTAAGGAGCCGGAGGGGTGCGGCTGGTCAAGCGTCAGGCCTGGCTCTCCTCTAGACGAGCAGCTAGCAGCTGCTGAGTCGTCCCTATTATTATTATTATCATCATCACTACAGCCGAGAGACAGAAAAGGAAATAAGCTAGGCGGCCGAGCTACACGAAGTAACAACAACCATATGATATCAACATTTACCACAAACTCACATTTTCTTGTTGACAGTGTGTGTCCGTGATTGTAGCCTACCTGTAAATCTCGCTAACCCCCACTAACGTTGTTGGCGGGCTCGGGGATGAAACACGGCTGGCAGTGGCAACAACTTCAGGTTCATCTCCCGCAGGAGGAGGAGTAGGGCGAAATAAATATCCATCTAGCTTGGACAATTTGACCTTTTGGTCCTCCTTTTTATCTTTTTCTTTGCGTTTTGTAGCTCCACTTTTGTGTTTATAACTGCTCATGCTTAGGCAGTGCTCTGTTGAATGACAAGTGATTGCTGATGACGTTGACGTTCATTTACGTATGATGTTGATGGACGGCTGTTGATGACGATTTTACCCAAAATACATTTGGAGACAATAGAAGGGTATCACTTGCAATTTTTCATGTTTTAATGTTAAATATGAGTGTGAAAATAGCAGCACAAGTTCAACTCATATTATAGGCTACAATGCTTTATACCTAATATGACCACGAACGTCAGTGCACTCAGTGGCGCGAGGCAGCAGGGCCCGCCGGCGAATATCTCGGGGGCGGAGCCTGCTGCCTCGGCGACGGGCCCCCATTGGGTCCCGACCGTCCCGGGCCCGGGGAGCCCTGCCCCTACAGCCCCCCCTGAAGCCCCGCCCCTGGGTATGGCGCAATATTAATAGCTGAGAATGTAATATTATTTCAGATAATTTTACAAGTATGGTGTCACATTACACGTTTTTGAGGCGAATCCATTTTAGACAGAGCCCCAAGGAAAACCTTAAGTTCAACCACTGGTTAATGAAAAAAGGCCTTCTTCGAAAATCAATGAAATGCCCCTCTTGTGCTCATGTCATGAAGTTGAAACGGCCTTATGCTAAAAAGGAGGCATCATGGTAAGTAATGCTAGAACGCTTAGCCTGTGCTTCATTTATTAATTTTGGGCATATCATATTGTTAGCTCTGTAGCTGGAAGTTCATCTGAATGTTGGATGCAGACTTATCACCTTTCAGAAACATTTACCATTTTGAATCTACATTATGTGACCTATGTGATTCATGCATATCTGATGGAAAATGATTATATAATTCATATTATTGAACCTAATTGTTTTTATTAGGAGGAATTATCAGCTAAATCTCACCTAGAAAGTCATAATTCAAATCACACTGCTGATAATTTATATGTGCATGTGGGCTACTTTTTAAGGTGGTAACACTACTAAATGCACTCAAATATCTTCCTTATTCAGTTAATTATTGTAAATTAAATTCTTCTTGTCAAGTATACCTAGAAATGTTGAATAACACAAAGGACTTGCGCCATATTCAATCCATGTCTTAGATGTATCAACACCTTACAAATCTAGACTTAATTTATCAGAATTCTATTCAACCAATTTGTTTAATCATCAGGATGTGCCGGGATTCATGTCACAAAGGGAAAACATATTCAAGATCCATCCGAAGTGGCTCCATGTTTGAGAATTCCCATGTGCGACTGCAAACATGGATGCATTTCATCTACAGGTGAGTGGTTCTAAATCATTCATGAAATGTGTATATATGGAAATGTACTGTACACCCATGACCACTTCAAAATTGGTTTTAACCTCCCCTCCTAACTAACTGGATTGTTTACAGATTTGCCCAAGGCCTTCGATTGCGACAAGTGGACATGCTGCAGGAAGGAATTACTCGTAGCTCTGCAACTCTGACTAAGCTCGCAGACAAGCTGCGGAGAGTTTGTAAATCTGCCATGAGAAGAGTGAGAAGAAGAGGCCAGCAGACCATTGGAAGACGAAGTGAAGTTGTTATGATCGATGAAAGCAAATTTGGCCATAAAAGAAAGGTGTGTAAACTATGCAAACACTTTAAGATTGTTACCTTGATGTCCAAACAATACATAATTAAAACAAGTTTATTTCCTATGATCTTGCATAAGCCTGTCCTTAACAGAGCTACTTAATGTAGAGACACTATACATACTTTTAATACACAGAAAGTTAACATTTATTTTCACCATTTCTGCTGTACAACACTGTGTCTATCATAGACTATTATTGCTAATTATACATAAAGTAGTAGAGTGTATTGTAAATTGTAAAGCATTTTAACAACTGTTCTCAACATGCTCGAACAGTTCACTGCTGTGTGATTAATAATTGAAAACAAATGCATACAGTATTCCATGTAGAAATATACAATGGTAAGGCTCTAAGGAAAATATTTAAAAACATTCTTCATTTAAAGAAACTGCAGACAGAGCCATTTTAATGTAGTCATTCCAAGTGTATGTAAACCTCTTTTACCCATCCCACTGTTTGTGGCTCAGGTGGTTGTGCATTATTCTCCACAGCTCCATGTGGCCATAGGTTGCATTAATATACCATTTTTTCTCCCATGGAACAAAGAGAAGGATCATTTTTGTGTGTCAAAACTAAATACTGTAGTGGCCTTTTGTAAAATTGTGTCAGTATCCTTATCTATGAGAAATGACTGTTGCGTTTTGGAATAAGATATGCAGTTCAATTATGCCATAAAGGGAAATGTCACGTTATTCCTGGACAGTTGAATATTTGTAAACATGCACTGCT